ATGGAATTAGGGTTGAACTATTTTTTTTAGGCTTTTACAGTGAATTGTTTGACTTCCTTGTCAAATGCATTTCAGACATCTCATTTGAATACTTTGAATGGTATCTTAGTGCAAATGCAAATAACTTCTTCAAAATTATTCCTGTCTTTTATTCAGTAAGTGCTGAATCCTACAGAAAAAAAGCAACTTAGGGGCTGGAATTAAGGTTGTTTGGGCAACTTCTTTCCCTTGCAATTTCTTGATTTCAGGAACTTGATAGCAAATGCAGATATTTCATATATATAGATATATTTAATTTTTTTCTTGTTCCATGGTGGATAGAAGTTTATAGCACAATTTCAGTTTTTGTCTATTGCAGGTTTGTGTGCTAGAAACATAAACTTATAGTAAATGTGTCTAACATCTGAAATGTGTAAATCACTTCCTTTTAATAAACTGCTTTCTTTAAAGTTCTTTGTCAAGATTTATGATGTAGTAGTGCATGTGTGTATTTAAGGAATTACTTTTACAATTTAAGGTCTTAAGTTGTTTAGCTCTCCCATTAATAGTGTGTATTTAATAATGTACTAATAACTGATATTTAATATATTAATCACTGGAAAGTAGCAAAATTGGAACACTTCAGTAGCTTTAGTGAAACAAATGTAACTATCTGACTTCTAATACTATTTTGGATATTTTGACAAAACCATTTTGGTTTCTGCAGTGCAGTTTTTTATACCATGCGTATATAGCATATACACACATATAGTGGTGCTTGTTTGTCTGGCTGTAAATTGTGAAGTCAGGAGGGTCCTACTCAGTGGCAGCACTTCATTGTGGTGGGGGTTTTCAGAGCTGTAGGAATGAAAAGGTTTTGCCTTTTCATGGGATGGGGGCCAGTAATTGCTGCTTTAATGGCAGCATGGTTCCTGGCCATTCAGTGTGCCAGTTACCAAACAAGGCTTGGAGTCTCTTGTTAAATGCTTATTTACCAGTGTGAGCTTTTTTGCTTTTTATTGTTCACTCCCAGCTGAGGAAGTTCTTATTTTGTGTAGTTCCTGTCTGGCTTCCAACATAGTAACACTTCTCATACAAAAGCCATGTCATTGCGCCAGAGTTCTGCTGACTCTTTTAAAGATCAAGAGTCCATCTAATATTTTTCTAAACTGGCTTGCTTATTTTTTAGTGTTCTGTTACTTTATTTTGGAGTTTTAACAAACTTGTTCTTGGCAGGGAAAGATGAAGTGAAGCCAGATGTAGTTTGAGAATGTCTTGGTGTCACAAATAATGAATGAATGGTATATTTCATTTAAAACAGGAAGCTCACTCCATTGCATAGACTCCCCTGACCCATTGTTTTGTACTTGTGTCGCCTATTTCATAATGGAAATTACAGGAAGTAGTGACCTCAGGTGAAACCTACCTATACTGTCTTGGCAACCATAAAGCGTTCTTCTGCTATCACAGATTCATGAATTTATTAGATCTCCCTTGTGTTGCATAGTGTAAGAAAATTGTTTAAAATTCTTTTAAACACCAGCAAATTCCACCCCTCTGTTAATTTCCATTTCTGTAGCAAAAGCCAGTCTGTACAGTAACTTCGTTATTAGTAATTACCATGAAATGTTATTATTCAAATTAGTGATGTAAGGGGGGTGTGCAGCTTAGCAATTTGGGAAGTGTAAAGACTTACAGGAAGAGACTAAAGGTTTGCCAACTAGTTGTTTCTGTACTTCAAAAATATTGTCACAATTGTTTTAAAAATGTAGTTTCTGCATTCTTCCTTTTCCCTAAATAACCTAAGAATGCGTTAGCAAAAAAAATTCAGAAAGTTTATGAATGGTGACTGAGGTACAAAACCAAGGTACAGGCATACTGTTTTTCGCAGTATGCTCAGATGATTCTGTAGTTTCCTGAAGTCTTACCCTTTGTATTTTATGCTAGAACTTGTATTTCAGGTTAACTCTGAGTTTTATACAGACTTACTGTAAGATGCAGAAATTTGAGGCAAAAGTACTTTCATATAAAGTTGTATCAAAAATTGTGTGAACTTCAGAGGTTTTTCTACATGGGCTTATAAGGTGCAGTATAAAACTGTTATGCAGGCTGTTTTCATTTTAGTTTCTTACAACATGTGCTTTCCTGTGTGGAATTTTCAGAAAGCTGGTAAGCTTTCTTCACAGCTGCGTCATGTTCAGAGGCTTACATTCATTCTAGGATTGTACAAAAGCAATCTGTTTTCTTCTTTAACTTCCATATGATCAGGGAGGTCTATTTTTTGGCAAAAGTTATACCACAAGTTAAAAATGTGATGGGCATTCTGTATGTCAGATTCCGTTCCAGTACTGTGTGGAATGGAAGGCATTCAGATTTCCTGTTAATGATACCTTCCATCGGTAAATTATAGTGACAAACTTCTGCTTTTTCTATTAAGTTATGTTACAACAATGTAAAGAAAGTGTGCAGCTTTTATTACCCTGCCCTATAATGTGAATAGGTTAGATTTTTAAAAAAATTATTTTTATTGTCATCATTATCATTATTTAGGAAGCAACAGTAGATACAAGTGTTGAAATTATCTTACTGTGATGACTACACAGCAACAAATAATTGACTTCCTTTGTTGTGCATGTAGTGTGTCCTATAACCCATGGTCCTGTGGATGACAGGAAGGGATTTGTCTGTGATGATCTGTGTGGCTTTTGTTTTTCTTTCATCACTTTAACAGAGTTAAAATCTTGAGAACAAAAAATAGCAATAAATAATGGGGAAAAAAGGCATTTAACTGTTTTAGTAATGCCTGTTTTAGGAGTGGGGTCAATCTAGTTGCTAATTTGCTTTTTTGAGATACTAGATTTTTTAAGAGTGAGTCATATATTGTGGCAACAGTATTTTATTTGATGTGAAGATAAATGAGAACAGGCATGAAGAGAGAGCTTAGGTGGCAGGCTGCAGTTTTAAGAGCTTGAGAAGAAGTAACATTTTAGTTTTCGCAGGTTTTGATCTGTGTATCACTGGAGCAGGATCAGGTGAAGGATGGGTTCTTCCTCTCTATCTAGTGCCATACAGGTTGTTTTCACCCTAGACAAGAGAGTTCACTGGTCTGGATTTTGCTGCTCCTTCCACTTAAAAGGAGAAAGTGAGCAGGATATTCCTGGCAATGTCACCCCAGAAAAAGCATGATTTTAAAAAAGTGAGGTTTTCTTTGCACTTGAATTGTAAAATATGAATAGCCCCTGCATGATGTGAAAAGTTACAGCACGGCAGTCTTCTGTTAATATCTGATAATAAACATAGCTAGAAAGGCAGCAGAATTCTTTTGGAATGCCATGCTGATAAACAAGTGCTCTCAGGATAAATAGAAAACAGTAGAGAATTAAAGCACTAAACCAGAGGAACAATGAAGAGCTTTCTCCTGCTTTGAAACAGTGGTAAGGGTCACTCAACAGAAAATGCTTCAGTTTGATGTCAGAAATGAAGGGAAGCAGAAGGTGAGGTAATGCTGTATCTAACCACCATCAGGTTCTGGTAAGAGAAAGCAGAGCAATTAGAGTTGCTGTTGTATAGCAACTTAGAAGTGAATAATTTTGGTTGGAGTGCTCAATTCAATCATGCTACCGTTAGGGTCAGCAGAGTTGCTCTCAGTTACTGCGCCTGCAGACCATCACAATTGCATTGGTAGGGGATGGAGTAATGAAACCAACTTGTTGGAAGCAACAAGGTAAAACCAAGTGGAGACTGACAAGACTAGAGTGTGCTGAATTTCAACTCACATTGCAGGAGACAAGAACAAAACTAGTAAGTCCTGGCTGGTGATAGGTTTGAATTCAAGCTGTGCTTCCGCACAGCCAACTTCAAAGGAAGTTAAAAAATTCTTGAGACTTCTACCTGTTTGTTCACAAAAAGCAAAAATATGATTTATGGTCCAAAGGACAGGGCCGTGGAAATAATCCATACTTCAGCTGCTTTTTTCTTTTTATTTTAAGTAAGCTTTGAAATAAGCTTTGAAGGATCAGGCACTGGGCTTAAAATAGCAGCAGTGAAGCGAGGAGATCATTAAGTTCTATTTTTTTCCTTACCATCAGACATTTCACTTTTTGTGTAGGTGCATTCCTGTTCCTTCCACGTCACAGGTGGCTGTTCTTCAGGTCAAGTTATCAGGCTAGTGACATGGGTAGGTAGCATTTGTCTAGTTTCTGAGGATAAGATTTGTTCTGCAACACTACTTAAACAATGATTTGAACCAAGTTGATTCAGTTGAATGCTGCCATGCATTATTATTTTATGACTTGAGCTCACAGCAGTATTGTGATACCTCATTATTCATACAGTGGCAGTTAAGCAACAAAGCTTGGTAACATTTTTTCCTCCTTATTTTTCTTTGTGTCTGTGTGCTTAGAATGGCAAATGAAGAATGAATAACTGATCAAAAGTCAAAAGCTTTTGTTCTGTGGGTACAAGCAGTGTCTTGCAGGATTGGAATCCATCACTGTTGTCTTGTATGTACTTATATGAAATCCATTCTTGAAGACTACCACTGTTTCTTTGGGTAGCATTCATTTATAAATGGTTTAGACTCAGGAAATACAGGCCAGTTTGAAGAACTACCTGATTTATTTATTTATCTATTTAAATGGATTAAATATGTAATCCTGCTTGTTTTCTCTCAATGTTGTCATTATTTGCAGATACCTAACTGTGTATTGGCTAGATATTTGGGTATATTTATAAGCTTTGGAATCTGTTTGCAACTATTTCCTCAGTATATTGAGTCCTGCAAATTATTACTTTTTATTAGACCAAATAAATCCTAATTGAATGTTTGCTCTTTTATATGCAGCCTGTTCCATTTCAAAATGGTAAAAGTTTGCTCTAGTTTTAATTTGCATAATAAAGACCTAATTTGCTGCCTCCCTGTAAATTATATTTATTCACTTACTTTAATATAGTGCAGCTTTTCAAAGTACATCTTTTTAATGATTAAAAAAATGTGCCTTTTCTCTTTTTCCTCTTTTCAGATTTATCCAAGAATAGGTTAACTGAAGTTCCTACGGAGTTGTGCCATTTTGTGTCACTGGAAACACTAAATCTATACCACAATTGTATCAAAGTTATACCAGATGCCATAGTAAACTTACAAATGCTAACTTACTTAAATTTGAGGTAAGTTTATCTTTGCCACATTTTTTTGTTTATTTGCAGATATGTAAAGCTTTTTTGTCTGCACTTTATAATGTTCTGGAACAACTGACTGCATTTTTTCATGTCACTGAAAAGGGTAACACAAAAGCTCACTGGCTGCAGAGACAGCTCTGTATGAAGGCATCGTAAATGCCAAAATGTAAAAATAATTATTACAAGAAAACCAAGAAAGTTAATCCAGTTCTGTCCCTTAATCTTCTAACAAATCCAGAATGCTAATCACATCCATATAGTTGTATTTTTTAAATTCACTTCTGATGTCTAATTTTGTAAAGCTTGACATACATTTTGCAGTTCAAAAGATGGAGGGATAGAGGATTTATATTTTTCACCATGGGGAATAGAATGGAAGAGTGAGATACTGTATCTATCACTAGCATAGTCATATTATGAAAGAAATATAGCTGCTGCCTTTTTGAGGAGAAAGTGGCAAAGAATTAGACATGTTTGCCTCCTTTCCAGGAAAAATCTGTGTGAATACTAATCAGTACAGAGAATTGCTGCTAGTTAAAGTTCATGTGAGTGCACATGTGCTCTTGATGGAGGGCAAGTGAGCCCTTTTTCAACTGGGGCAGGGTGTGGAGTTTTCTTTGTAGTTTAATGTGTAAAAACTGTAATAGTGAAGATATATCAGTCTGATCTTTGTGAGAATGAGGTCTGAATAGAAGGTGAAGTGTCTCTCGGCCTGTGAAATTAAGGGAATGAAGTCCTGATCCTCAGTTTTATCAACACTGAAGATCTTTCTCATGTCATATTTTCTCAAGTCTACATTATTACTATACTGCAGTTTTGGCCACTGTGGAGCACTATTTTGTCTTAAAAATTTAAGTGGAGTAGTGTGTCCTGAGAATTTGCACACATACAAGAAATAGGAATTGAGATTTTGAATTAGTGTTTGTTAAGTATACATGAAGAACTTAAAACTGGATTAAGTTATTAAATATGCATAAAACATCCTGGTAAATTTAGGAATTAGAATTAACTTGGTTAGAATTCAATGTCATGAAACAGTGAATTGGAATTCTGTGTAGTGATAGAATTTGTCTGAATCATCACAAAACTAGAGTAGATTTTATATCACATATGACACTAAATTGGGCAAAATAAAAGTGATTTTTTATTTGACTAAATAAGGTAATTTCTCTCAGTTTAAAATCCCCTGTTTACCTGGATGTGCCCTTCCCCATATTAGTTGAACATGTTGAGGGGTCTGAAGAAAGAAATACGTCCTTGACTTTCTAACCATGTTGCTCTTGGCAAGAAATACATAATAGATTTAAAATGCATATTTTTCTGCCTGTTGCCAGCAGAGGCCATATGCTGAATAGCATTAGAAAGTGATGCCAAGAGATCTATATATAGTTTTTGGGCCTTGGTGGATACTGTTGATGTTTTATTTAAAGAAATTCCTTTGAAACTAATGATGATTTATTACTCACTTGCCCTGGCTATGTTCTGTTCCTTATCTCTTACTGGGTTGCATCTGAGTTCTGTGGAGCTTAAAAATTGGTTTTACCTATTTTTTATCTGTGTCTGATCTGCGGTATAGGAGTTACTGTTTTAGACTCTAAGCTTCCTCCATTTCAGTTCTTTAGAACTTGAAACAATACTTCCAGGTAATTTTTCAAAAAAATTATGTCTTGGTTTTCTGTAAGGACATTAGAATTAAGAAACCTGGCTCCACAATAAGCATTCATACTTTTTTTCAGCTGCTGCTGGTTCGCAGTTGGAGTTCTCATTTTTATTTTCTTTGGGTTTGTTACTTGATATCTGTCTGTATCCTGGCATGCACAACAGAGATAAGATGGCAGTTTGCTTTGTACAATATTTTGAGACTGTTTTGTAGAGCATGAATATGCATCTCTATATGCAGCTTTGTAGCACGCTGCTGGTCTGGCTCTTGGAGAAATGCTTTGTGGACTTGCAACTTGTGGAATTTTGATTTTTGCGTGTCTTTGTTTCATGTCAATATTGCAACTCCTACTGAAATTACACAGGACATTTTTTGTCATGTGTTCCAGAGTGTAGTTATATATCTTTGCTTTCTGAAGCCTTTACATGTAGGCAGGAGCTAATAAAAAGGGTTTATACTGGGGTACCACTTCAAGTTACTGTTCATTGTTTTATTACATGTTAATAATCACAAGAAAGAAAATGTTATATTTTAAGGAAATTTTTAAATATTCCAGAAGAGACTAACTATGTTATTCTGATAAGCATAAAGTTTCTTCTGGGAATTGAGCCAAGAATCTTGTGGACATCACAAAGGGTCATGATATTTGTCATCTTTTAGCTCTTCCTTATGAATCTTGGGAAGAAATGAACCGTTGATAGTCCCAGAAATATTTGCTGTGCTTACCTGGGTTAATAGCATAGAGCCATAGACCGAGACGTACCAAGTAATCTTCAACTATAAATGTGCTTTAAAGTAATTGAGAAAATAACAATTTTGTCTGTGATTTATGTATTTGTCTTTCAGCTGGAACAAAAGACATCCATTTTAATGACACATAAAACCACGGGAATGTTTAAATATTTGCAAAATACTGTCTCAGTTGACTTTCCTGTATTCATTAGGAAGGGAAACAGCTGTTCTTTGTGCCAAACAGATTTTTACCGTGTTGTTAAACTGATACAATGCATTTTTTCCACAGTGGTAAATTCTGCAATATTGTTAGTCAATAATCAGGTGTTTCTAATGTGCAAGTGTCTTCTTAATTATTGCCTTTTGAAAATTTCAATTTTATCTGCATAAAATATGACCCACGAAAATGAAGGCATTTTGCAGCTCTCAGAGTTTGTGAGTATACAGTAGAACATCACCAATGGTTTTAATATTTTTTGTTGTGTTTTGTTGCAGTCGAAATCAGCTTTCTTCTTTGCCAGCTTGCCTGTGTGGTCTTCCTCTAAAAGTCTTAATTGCAAGTAACAATAAGCTAGGTTCCCTTCCAGAAGAGATAGGTCAGCTAAAACAGTTAATGGAATTGGTATGTTACTGATCTTTTTTTTACTTTTTATTTTGACTTCTTTTGAATTTAAATAGAAACAGTAAAATTCACTTTGCACATATATTTGAACAAGTGCTTAATACTGTAATGTAGTTTGCAGAACTTAAGTTTTTAACTTCTAAAGTGTGTTGGATAGTGACACAATAGGAGTTTCCTTTATGTTCTTCAGGACTCTTTTAAACAATGTCACTGCTCTTGGTTCATTCAAAACTCAGTTTCAAAGTTCCTCATCTTTACCAGTGTTGCTCCCTGCCTGCCCTGGCTCCCTGTTTCACTGTATCAGGTCCTTAATTTCTGGCATCAGGCTTTACAAGGTTGCACCCCCTGTAGCACCCTCCCCTCCTGCTTCCTTTCTGTGTTTTTACTATCTGCTTACCACACTGCATTCCACTCAAGCTACTGGTCTTATCAGTCTATTTTCATTTTATTTCACTACATTTGTCATGCAACCTTCCTTTCCTGGAACACCCATCTAAACAGATCTACAAAATGATTATACTCCTTGTTTTCAAAGCTGTCTACACAAGTACTGTTTCTACAAACAGTAGATCATTTAGAATATATTGTCCAGTCAATAACAGTCTGAAAAAGCAAAGCTTCTTTGGTACTATAGCATAAAATTAATTTAATTGCTCATGTTTGTGGAAAATATATATGAGAATACCTCCCTTTCTCTCCATTTATCTTCCTCTGCTATATATTGTAGCATATATATTTATGGCATAAGTCTTCTGTTTATTTCTATTCATTTTGACCTTTTGAGATAGAAATTGACAAACTGTATTTTGACACTGCTAATTTGTGCTTAGTAAAACAATCAGATTTGAACTTCCTTCCAGCTGCTGGTATCTCCATTGACAGCATTTACCTTGCATTGCTTTTCTGTGCCTGAAAGTGCCTTCTTATCATATTCTTGTTTTTATGATAGTAGTTTCTCCAATAAATTACATTACAGAAATTAGTAACCTTGCTTGAGGCCCCAGCGCTGCTATTGATTCTTCATAGGTGGTATGAAGTGGCAGCCGTGGGGCTTCTTCCTTCTGGTATTCTTGAGCAGCATCCTGTGGTATTAGGCTTGTGTTATATATACAATTGATGTGGCTGTTGCTGAGAATGGTGAGGGTAGTTACCTTTTCCTTTCTGAGTTATTACTGAGTTCAAGACTCCCAAGTTTGTTTTCTTTGGTGAGCATTATTAATTTATCTTATCAAATGTTTTAAATTTGTGTGTGTGGTGGGTTTAGTGAGATTTACACAGATGGTTTTGATCTAATTATTCTTTAAAATATGTGAGGTAATAGCACTGTTTTTGTTGTGCTTAAAATAGACACAATAGAAGGTGATGGTTCCAGCTTTATACATAATTTAAGTTAAATTTAGTAAAAAGTTTAGTAAAAACTAAAAGCTTGAAATCAGTGTTGATTATACCCAAGGCAGATCGGGTTTGTTTGGTTCAAGCATATAATTTGTTTAAATTCTGGATTTTCATATTGCTTTCCAGTTAATAGTATAGTTTGTGTTACTGTCTGTCATGAAGAGCAAAACAATTCTTGCTGTAAAAGTATTTCATATGAGAGCTCTAGCTACATGTCACTTTGGTAGCCTAGAAGATACATGAAAACTGAAAAAGGTCTGATGCTTGTTCTTTTTGACTTAGAAGGCATTGGGGGGGGGGGGGGGGGGTGCGCTGAATGAAAAACAAGTTTTTGTTAAGTTGAGCATGAGTCTGTTCTGATGACCTGATTACACAGTTTGATGCCACCATGTGTGTTTGGTACATTTCTAGTGAAATGAGTTGCACTATTTAACTGGAAATGAGATAACTGTGATGTATTGAGAGAAGCAAATAGTGGTAGGATTGAGAGTGGGGAATCTGTGTTGGCATGTAAACTGTAAAGCAGTTTAGATAATAAAGGTGATCATTGTTCTAAAACACATAAAAGAAACAAACAAAACACATGAAGTCATATTGCAGTTGTTGCACAAAAAGTTCAGCTGTGAAGAGCAATGCCGGTCTGAATAGCGTGGGATTCAAGCAGAAGCATCACTCAGCCCTCTGGCAGGAAGTGCTGTTGTTTTGGTGTGCACACAGTGCTGGTGCTGGCCTGGGCCAGGGTATAAACCCTGAGATGCCACCTGGCTCTGTGCAGTTCAGATATCCACAGAACATTTCTGAGCAACCTCAGGTTCCCCAGATGTTTCACAAGCTGCATGCAGTGAGACCTGTATGTACATAGCAAAGGGTTCTTTTTATCTACTTATTTTATACAAAATTTATATAGTCACTGTAGAATGATGCAGACATAATTTGCTGAAAATTAGATCTTTCCAATAAACTCTGCATTTTCCCTTCTATCCTCCAAAATGGAGTAGGTAATGGTTTTCTATTACAGGTATGTATTTTTATGAATTTCATACCTGTAGCGTAGAATAACTTTGATATTACATGCAGAAAACTTTCAGGTATTCTTTTAAATTTAGGGTTCTGACAGCTAACTTATTTTGGTGCTTGTAGCGTAAGTTTTTGTCCCTGCAGAATACATTGTAATTATTTGGCAAAAAATTTGGTTGGGAAGTTTACTTTTATTTGCTGCAAAAAAACTTTTGACTCAATCATGCCTCTACTGTGAGCCAGGAGAGTGCAAAATTAGTGTGAAGATAATCTGAAACTTACTTTCTGCCAAGGAAAAGTAATTGGGCAGAGATGGCTCAGTAATTGTACCCAAAACTATTAGATGTACAGTAAAATTCCATTCTCCATTCTATCAGGCAGTAGTGCACTTCTGCCTTCTTCAGATAACAGCCCTCTCTATCTCTGGGATGCTCCTATCTCATGTTGGAAGCCTTCAAATTTCTCACCTGGAATTTATGTCCTTTTCCTCATTCATCTAATCAGAGACAGCAGCCTGACCACATGGGACTTGCTGCCTGCTGTTTCCTAGAAGGGTCCGTGTGTTCTCATACCGTGTAACTTCTTTCTACTCTTCAGTACGGATTCTGTGTCACAAGCTCTGACTGAACCCAGGTGCTTTTTAGAAACAATGGCTCAGTCAGGAGTCCTGAGTTTAAAGTTATATAAAGAAGAAGTTCACCTCAATTTGAATGGTTTGGATAAACTTCTGTGTGTGTAGGAATAAATATGTTAATATGGAGCCAGAGTACCTTATTGTTTTTTCTGTTTATCTTGCTGAACATACATGCTGAAAAGGCCATTTAAACATTACTGTAAACAAAGGGAAACAGCTGATGATTTTGCTTTCATGCCACTGAGCTTCATGCCACAGAAATTAATGTTAAATTTCCTTAATTTAATAAATGTTAAACAAAACCCTTATGTTTCTCTGATTTTGACAAATTGCCTTGTCTTGGCAGGACATGGTTTGTCTGGTGAGAACAAAATAGAATTAATACCAAAAGTATGACCTCAGCAAATACTGGTTCCCCATGGAACTTGAGTGTTTGCTCTTCAGTTACCTGCAAATGTCTCTGAAGCCGAGTTCCAAACTGCTGATTGCATAATTCCTTAAAAAATTAGTGGCTTGGAAACCATAGGTGTTTGATAGTATTGCTTCCATTACTGCCAAAGTAATGAGAAAGTTTAACACTGTCTCTGTCACATACACACTCACGAAGTCTAATACTAGTCAAGAGCATAACTATAAGTGTTACAAACCTTTGTTTCCCATGGCTATTCAAACAAAGCAATAAAAAAATGCAAGTTGGACTACAGTGTTTGTTAGGGTAAAGGATACTGCTGTCTCTAGAGATCTTGTGAATGCTGACATGCTGTCACAACAGATCAGTCTTATTGAGGATGTTTTGAAAGGCTGTAAGTGGAAGAGGACTTTGTTTTTGAGGTTACACACTGCCAGCTTTCTTTTTCTTTTTTTGATGCTTCCACTAGAATTCTCTGTCTCTTACCCTGACTTGTTCTGGTATGTGTGCCTAAGTACACTTGGTCTAGAGTGTCTTTGCCACAAGGTGACTTCAAATTCTGTGCCCTAAAAATTAAGTATCTAATTATAAAGCAATTTAAAGACTGTAAATTAAAAATAGGGCAGTAAAGCTTTAAAAATAAATTATCAGGGAACAGTGCAATTAACCAACCTTTGTGAGAACTTGGGCAAAAATGCACTCATTAGCTGGGATTTTTAATTTCCTTGTCTAAAAGCTACACTAATTTCCTGACTGTGTTTTGAGAAGGGAAGGAATTCTTGGCAGCAATAGGATTCTATTACAAGAAGAAACTTGTTGGATACAGGGAACAGCATTGCCAGATCACATTTTGGTTTTACTATCATTTTTTTGTTAAGTAGATTTTAAGCTCAAAGATAGGTAGTTAATATAAGGCTTTTGACTGGCATTAATGCAAGCATCTTCAAAGACATGACTTGGAAATCTGGCTTCTCAAACTTTTGTCTAGGAGTTCCAGATACTTTATAAATACATTTGAAACAGTTGAGAGAGTAGGAGTATTCAGTTGGCTTTTCAGGAAAATGGGGCATTACCCCATTTAGCTTTCATACTGTGAGGTACTATATCCTTCTTTTAGTACTGAAATGACAGCATAATTGGGACATTACTGAACTTTGCAGGTTGTCGGGGATGTGAGCAGAGGTTTCAATGTCCATGTGGCAGCAGAAATGATAGCTAGTATTTAACAATTGTCTCATCACAGACTGACTTAATCTAGGAATTTGATCTTTCATGCACATTCATAGCACTTTCTTGCTTGAAATAATTAAGTAATGCCAAATAAGCTCTGTCCCTTTTCATTATGGTCTACTACGTGCCATGATGATCAAATATATGCCTTTGCTGAGCATCATTACAGAATGTTACTGCTATATTACTAGTATTGTTATTATTATATATTTTGCTTAAATATTCCATCTAGAAGAGCAACCTTTTTAAAAACTCAGATCCACACACTAGGATTTTTACATTTCATCCTAACATATTTGGTTATATAATCACTATACTAAATTCTTCAGATGAAGAAAAGAGCAGAAAAATAGAACTTGTTAAGTAAGTAGTTTTGAATATTTCTATAGAAATTAAATTAATTTTCAAAATCAACTTGTTCTCCAAATAACGGTTTGCTCTGGTTTTAACTAATGTGCCGTGTTTTAACTAATTTTCCCATGTATTTATTTCGTTGTGACTACAGGACATAGATTGTTGCACTTTTTCAGGTTAATAAAATGTCACAATGATAGTAGCATTTCAGTTATGTTTGTATTATGGAACATGTAGGAGCTGAAAGTTCATCATTGTTTGTTATTACTGTTTTACTGTAGGATGTCAGCTGTAATGAAATCACAGCTTTACCACAGCAGATAGGCCAGCTGAAATCTTTAAAAGAACTGAATGTCAGAAGAAATTACCTCGAAGTTTTACCCCAAGGTAAAAGCAAATGGACAAAAAAAATCTTTACAGTAGCTCTTCTTATTATAAGTTTGAAAGTATTTTTAATCATATAAATAGTTATTGTTAAAAAGTAGCTATTATTTTGTGTTCAAATTTATTCCATTTGGGTCTGCAGAATATAACATTCAATGGTATCCACTGAAGAACAGTGTGTGAGGTTTCTTCAGTGTGTCCTTATGATTCTAGGCAACTTTTAAGTTAAACAAGTGTCTGAATGTAGTATGGGAACTGTCAGCTGATTTTCAGGGAAAAGAAAATTTTCAAAGTGTTTGTTTTAGAATTTCTTGTCACTTGTGTAACAACACTCTTTATTTCCCAGTATAAAATGGAGTAAATGTTGATCTTGTTCCTCCCTGAGTTTGTATTTTTCCTGCATGCAAAAGAAGGGTTATTAAAAAATATTGTATTATTTTATGCCAAAAATAAAAACAGATGTAACACCTTCTCTCCTTTTTATTACTTTTAGAACTAGTACAGCTTCCCTTGGTAAAGTTTGATTTTTCCTGCAATAAAGTGCTTGTGATTCCAATTTGTTTTAGAAAGATGGTGCAGTTACAAGTATTACTGCTTGAGAATAATCCTTTGCAATCTCCACCAGCACAAGTAAGTAATAATTTAAGTTGTGCCTTAATATTGAATGACTGCTAACACATTTTAGAATGTAAAATGCCACTTACTGCAATTGCAGGCTTCTGAATTTCAGTCATCACAGACTGTTGATAGCTGTTGATATTTAAATAAGACGTAGGATGTATCTAAATAAGACATTAAAAATATCCGCTGTTCTCAATATTAATTTGTACAGCACTTAAACCAACACACACATCTAGAAGATGCCGATACTGTTAGCTGTTAATTTTTATGATTTCTATCTGCATATGAAAGTTAAGATTGGAATATGTATATAATTTTAAAAAAAGTAGTGATAAACTTCCTGGGCAATTTTTCTTTCTGGTAAAATGAATCCAGTTCTAGAAGGTTCTACAGTGATTTGCTAACTTTAACTTAAAAAACATGCCTAAATAGTCTAAAACACAGTCCATGTGAAATTTATTTCACTTTATAGTGTAAGTTCATAGATTGTGATGCACAAAGAAGTAAAACTCCTCTTTGGAACTGTAGTCCACTCTGAGTAATAAGGATAAGTGAATAGCCTGTGTTTGCTGCTTAAGGACTATTTTGTTGTTGTTAACTTACTCGACAGTAAATTCAAACTGCATCTCTGAAAGCCACAAGTGTTCTGGCTCAAGAGTTGTTGAAATACTTAAGAATTTTTATTACGTTGGAGAAATGCTTTTCATAATCAATAGTGATGCTGCCTTCAAACTAAAAAATACAAAGCAAGAGGTGTGCACTTAAAGAAAAAGAAAATTCTGAAATGACAATGAATTGCATCATAAGTATGCTTGGACACTATTAAGAATGATGTGACCAAGAATATGTAGAGCACACTAGTTAATTAAATGTCATTATACACTAATTTTGAAAATAATTAATTGCCCAATTTATAGTTACTAATAGGCCATACCATATATTTGAATGTCTTTTATTTTTGAGTTAGAAGCTCATTTGGATTTTTTTAAAGAATACATTATTTTCTTGTTTTCTCTCTTAGTCTCTGAGGGTATTTATACTGGTAGACACAAATAATTGAGTATATAATTGAAGTACTTAGTAATTTTTGAAAAAAATCTATTTTCCTTGAACTGAAATTCATAATATTAGTTGAATTTCAGGGAGGTTTGTACTAAGTGACAAATGGAATAAATTGCCTTTTTTATTCTAATTTTAAACCTAATTTTTTCTTTGTCCCACAGATTTGTACAAAGGGTAAGGTGCATATATTCAAATATCTGACTGTACAAGCTTGTCAGATTAAAACAGCAGACTCGCTGTATCTTAATGCCATTGAACCGCAGCATTTGCCACAACCTGTGGAAGAGAGGTATGTATGAAAATCTCACTTTTTTTTCCCCATGTAACACTTACAAACAATAAAGTAGTATTTATCTTTAGGTTCCTCAGTTTTGTTTGTTTAGATGCTATTCAAAGTGTACTTTTTTGCACAGGGATTTAATTTACTTTTTTTCTAATTCAATCCCTGTAAGAGTTCAGAAAATTAAAAATCAATTCTGATTAAAGTTAACAGCACTTTAGTTAAGAGTTTAAAAGTGAACCTTAGAACCTTAACTTCTTTCTAGTGGACTCCTGGAACACATTGAAAATAATCAGATGGTAATTACATTAGGTGTTGGCTTGATCTACCTACACATTAAATAAATTTTAATTTCACCTGTTGTTTTGTGATTTTTGTGATGTGTTTTATGATTTATATGTGATTTATATGTTTGCACTTTTGTGATATTTTAATCTTTTTAAATTCATCCAAAATCATCTGTCAGACAAAGAGAACTGCATGAATGTCGAGATGCTTTTAAAATGAAGTGTGCTGATTTGTTAGCAAAATGAGCAAGATCTTCTATCTTGTATCAGTCTTGTCAGAAGTGGCATCTTGTACCATGGTTTAAGGACAGGAACCAGGTACAAAGCAGCTCCTTTTTATGATAATCTCCATAGCTGGTTGGAAATCAGCTTTTAGCCCAGTCTTTCTTTGCTAACAAGAGCAGTGTAATAAAACCAGTCAGAGAAAGTATGATATCTTTGGAGAGAAGAACTCAATGAAAACAAAGTGTTGGTATTAGTAATAGTAGAGATATTACTGCTAAAATCCTGGGAGGAAAAAAACCAAGAGCTGTTACAGAATCCCCTTTTCAGTCATCTTAAGATTTAAATCAAATTTTTCCGTCCATGTACCTTTGGAGCTCTCTTTGTGAATTTCTGTCAAAGAAATGTCACAGGTAGGAAGAATCCAGGAGGAAGAGTAGGTTCATTTGGGAAACACTTACTGGTTTCCTCTTTTGTTCATTTAGTATACAAGAAAATTGACAGGAATGTCATGTCCTGTATGGTATTTTGGTCACATTGGAGAATATAGGTTAGGGTAAGGGGATGGTACAGAGTAGATTTCCAAAGGCAGTTATTGCAAAAGAATCTTCAGTGTTTACTGATAAGAGGTAATTTAAGATTAGGATTAATGAATCAGATACCTTCTTCACGTGAAGGCTGATAAAGCTCCTTTCTTAAATTGTGATGTAAATCTAAATTCAGTGTCACAGCTTTCAGAATAGCAAATAAAGGGATATAAGGTATATTTTAAAAAAATTTTAGGTGATGAGAGTACTGCATCTAATAGTGCACTTTAAAATGAGTAGAGGTCATATTGGGTAATGAAACCAGAATAGAGAGCCTTTGCTATTATTACAGTGATTTTCTCAAAAATCTAAATTTCAAGGTCTATTTTAAGGCACCAAAAGGAGGTTTCTGTGTTAATAATTATTTCAAGCCTGAGGGAGATACGTGTTCTGTTTTAATGGATCAGTGGTTGCAACTGTATCGGTTGACTCCACTTTGAGTTTTACTATTCTGGTTTCTTCTCCCATGGCTAAATTGCTTCAGTCCTGTGCTGCTTAGCCAGTAACTAAGCAGTTTTACATAGTGTATAGACAAAAGCAAGCTAGTAGCCGATTATTTCTGTTGCTTCATTAATCCTTAGGTTTATTATAATCCTTCATTAATCAATTCAGTCTGATCTATTTTACCATCACCAGATTAAATGTTTGGTCTTTTACTGTACTAGACTATTTCACCTTCTACTGTTAAGAATAGTTTGAAACTTGCTCAGAGCTAAGTGAAACCAGAACAGAATTTGAATGTAAATGCTGTGATAGCTTTTTATTGATTTTTAGTTTTTTATATTCACATCTAGCATTGATGACATCTACCCAAGTAAAAAGGATTCAGATTCAGGTGTTGGTAGTGATAATGGTGATAAACGTTTGTCAGCAACAGAGGTAAGTTACCTGCCTTTTGTGTCAAATTCCTCTCCCAGCACTCATATTTTGACTGTATTTTAAGTTTGGTAGTAATGTGAAAAGATTTTTAGACTTAAACCTCTGCAACCATATCCTTGACAGGAATTTTACACTAAGAAATGGCTAAAACATTGGCTAAAAGATAAAAGGAGACTGTGGGTGTTTTTGATTTGATTTTTTTTTTTTGTCTGTGCACTGTCTGGAGTGGGCATGAGATACTTGCTTCCAAATGGTTACAGACTTACCAATAGTCAAAATCCTCTACAGTTTTCTGGCAGTTTACATAATCTAGAGAATGAGAAACAAACCAGAATTCTGCTGTTTTCAGCAAAGTAAACATGGTAACAGGTTACAAGCTGATGACTTATGGCATATTTTTCTGTTTGCCTGATTAGTCTTTCCTGTTGGGAACTTAGAGTGCCTAGTCTCAGTATGCTCTGTGATGTGGTTATGGAAGATTGTTATAGTGTAGAAACTTCAGAAATTTTGCAGATTTTAATGTGTTTGAATATTCTGACAGCTAGGCTATGCTGAAAATAAACCTTCAGCTCTTTTCCTGAACTTTGCTGTCTGACTGAGCAAAGAGAAAGGGTAGCTTTGTGGGACTAGTGTTGTCCGAAGCACTTAGAACTTCTTATGTTCTTAGATTCACAGTTTTTCTGAGGCACTCTTTAGCTGAACAGGGCACTAAATGTGTGGGGAGTTGAACTGAATAGATAGTGATAACTAAGTAAATAATTAGTGATGATGATCTTTCTGAAATATACAGTAATGGGATTTGTGGTCTGACCTAATGGGAAAGGCCTCACATTAAGAGGATGACCTTCTTGCTACTTAAAATAGTTTTGCGCTGATTCTTTAGTGTTTTTGTCCTCCTTTGAGGAAAAGGGATTTTGTTTCTTCTGGAACAAATGTATGAAGAATCAAGCTTAGGTACTGAATTTATAGTTACTCAAAAGCAAATTGAACATGAGTCCACTTACTCATTGATTGGTCTTCTAAATACAATAGTACTTTAAAAAAAAAAAAGCCATGTGAATTTCCAAGTGTTTGGGCAAGTTTCTTGGTAGATGGAAATGAAGTAGAAGTGTTACGAATTCTAGCCAAATCTCTAATGGTTTACCTCTAGCTGTAGGAGCATTCAGTCTGTTCAGAGACACTTACAAACTGTTTTGCCAGTCTTCCTCTTCCTGAAGCTCAGTTGGCTTGGTAATGAAACTTTTATCCCAGGATTCCCTGATTTCCTCTTTAGCTATAAATATCACCTTTAGAAAATGGATCATGTTACCTGTAATCAAAAGATAGCAATTGAAATGCTGCAAAAAATATTTTGAAAACTACCAACAATGAGCCAATACTTTTTAACTAGCACAAAACTTTTTTTATATAAGAACGATTTGCTCATTCTATCATCACCTGATTGCTGCTCTGCTTTTAAGGAGAAATAGATGCTGAGATCCATAATCCCAAACGCATTTGGTGGTAAATTTACCACACACTTTTCTTCTGATATGACCTTTAATACCTGTGTAACGCATGGGAATTGTGCAAAAAATACTAGCATGATGCAAATACATGCTCACATGTGTTGTTAATTACAGTCAGAAAGTTACATACCAAACTTCGGATAAACATTAAATGATCAGTCATAATCATTAAAACATTATTCTGGAGGTTTTTTAAATTAATATAAATTACTGTTTAGTGTGTAGTGTAGTGGCTATTGAGTTTCTGTTCTTTTACAGAAAATACTACAATGTTATTTTTCATATGTAACTTAATAACATAAATGAATCACTTGTTTTAACACTAATGTAATTTTTACAAAGCTTGCTAGTTGACTTTGGATGAATACACAGAAGAGGGAGTACTTGATGACATGAACTGCTTATATATCTCTCTTGGACTTTGTAGGGTCCTTACAGCACCAGTTTTCCCAGGTATAGGGGCAGTTTTCCCATCCTGGGCATTTCAAGTGAAAGATAATTTGTAGTGTTGCTATAAAATTGTTCATTGCAACTTGAAGGTAAATTCTGCCTTAAGGCAGTCTACCATTTACCTCATCTTTTAGGAAAAATACAGCATTTTGATTATTTTTCTCCATTTGGCCTTATTTTTCCTTTTGTTAAAATTCATTAGAATGAAATTAGAATGGTGTCTGTGCTTTATTACCTGCATGAATGATGCATTAGTACCAGCAGGAATATATATGAGGAATCTTTCAAAGTGCATCATCTCAATTCTGTCTTAGAATAATGTTAGGTATTTTTGATTCTGATTTGTCTATTGTCTTCTCTTGCTGTCTCAATAAAAAATAAAACTGTAGAAGAAGGAAGTTGGATACAGTACTTCACCTGTGAAGGAGTGATACTTTTGTATTATCCAAGGCTGCTTTGGATAGTTTTTGTTTCATAATATAGTGGCAGGAAACACCTGGAAAATTAGTTGCAGAATTCTGTAGGTCCTGAAAGTGAGGCATAGCCTGTTAAAGGAATATTTTTTTGTTTCCAAATTGAATGGTCTGTTCCTTTTTTTTATACCAACGCTCCAAAATGTTTTCTTCAAAGTGTGTGTTACTCTGCTGAGGGGAAAAAGAAAAAATTGTAACTGTTTCGGATCCAGAACTTCTAATAATGTGTATAGGAACATTTTACTGTACTATTTTCAAAGGATAGTTGAAAAATTACACAGCATGAACTTTGATCTAGAATAATCAAATTTAGAACTTAAATGTCATATGAGATACAGCCTGAAAGAGAAGGAACTTCACTGTAACACTGGTTGTCTGAATGAATTTATATTGTACCTGTCTTTTTTTTTAAAGCTGGTGGATTGTCATTGCTTCAGATCTAAAAGACTTTTGTGCTTAGGGTACTTGGAGTGTAATTTATTTTCTGTTGGAGATACTATTTGGTTTCATTTTAAAATATCATTAATTTTAAAATTTGAAATTTATTTTGAAAAGGCTTTATGACACCCCTCAACACCCTTTTTTTCCTCAAGTTTTTTCTCCCTAAGCCAAAAAATACAGCCAGTGAATTCATAGAGTTAATAACATGCAGTTTATTAATCAGAAAGAACATTCATCATGGTCCACATTTACAACATGTTTTGAGTCCAAGGTATTCTTGGAAAATAGGAATAACCACATGTATCTTTGATAGGGTTTTTAAGAGCAAGTTGGATTTGCTCCCTCCTTTATCACAAACTTTGGCTTCAGGAGTTAGAAAAAATACTTTCTACATAGATTATGAACATCTAAAAGTAGCAAGAATGTAAAACTTCTACTAGAAGCTGGCTAGAATTAAATAACTGATTATATGTAACACATTTCATTACCGATCTTTTTTGATACAGTTGTCTGAACTGATAAAATGGGGAATATAATTTCCTTAAAAATTTTTTTCAAGGATATTGAAAAAAGTGCTATTTGTATTATAGCAGTTATAATCACAGAATACATGTATGGAAAATGTATGCACAGTGTAACAAGTTACAGAAACACAGAGCATTTAAAGAATGAGCAACACTCATAGGCTTTCTGGAAAATACATTTGCAAAGTTCTGAGACTGTTGTAGTGGTAAGTGCACTGTCTCAGGGGAGCAAGAATAGAAACTTGGCCTCTTCTGCAAACTGTGGTTCTGCTCTAGCTCACCTCAGGAGGGGATGTGAGCAGGTCCCTCTTGAACAGGTCATTGCTGGCCTTGCAGAGAAACAGAGCCATGGTGTCCCAGTGGCCTGGGACAGAATTGTGTCTGTGATTAGCTGTGCAGCTGCTATCTGTAATGTCATAGACAGGATAAGTTTGTTAGATACAAGTGAAGTGTGTTAGTGTACCAGCTAATAGAGCTGAAAAAATGGGTGAGCTTTTAAGTCAGAAAAAGCTAATGTACTTGAGAGTCTATGTTTTTTTTTTTTTTCCAGCTCTGTCAGCATAATTAAAGATATTGCCTTGCTTGGTGTTGGTCTTGCTTGCTGTAGGCATTCAGTTCAGAAGCTGCATGGTAACGCAGGGAAGAAGAGTTGTGGAGGGAAGAAAAAAAGGGCTCAGTGTTTCTACACACTTTAGTGGCTGCAAGAAGGCCCCATTTTCAGCTGCCCCAGGGAAGCACAGACAGCAGCACGGTGCAGTGGTGTCAGTGCAAGGAGAGGACTAGTGCCAATGAGTAAGACAGGAAAAGAGAACATGTGAATTGTTCTACTTGGCAGACCTCATGTGAGGATATATTCAGCGTGACTACAACTTCTTACTACAGGATGTGGTCATGTTAGATGCTCTGTTATCCTCTCCCATGTTAATTTGCAGCTCTTTAGTGAGCAATCTTGTTAACGTGTACATTTTTGTCATTCTTGGTTTGAGCTGGGACTATTGTTTCTCTTATTTTTTCCTAGCCATCTGATGAAGATACTATCAGCTTTAATGTTCCAATGTCGGACATTTTGGAAGAAGATCATATTATAAAGGATGATTCAGGTCACCATACTAACTCAAGAAAAGGTTGGAATGTAAAAAAACAGGGAAATTCTGTTGTTGATTCCATGCCTGCCTGCTTACCCAGAGGGCTTTCAGCATGCATATGCAGTTGTGTAAAAATGGAAGAAGTATGCTACTTAGAAAATCTTTACTATACTGAATTGTTTACTGTCTAGTAATTTTCAACAGTGTTTCCAAAACACTTGCTGCACCTTGTCTCAAGAGTTAATAAGATCTGATTCTGACTGGGGGAAGAAAACTTAAAGTCGGTTTGAGCCATGCTATCCTTTAATTAATATCAATGTTCAGTAATTTAGCCAAGTGCAATAATGGAGTCCAGCTATTTCTATATATAAAAAGCTTTTTTAGTCAGTCAACATCACCTCTGGAAATAAGTAAATCTCTTTGTATTTTGTGAGAGATCTAATTTTATGCAATTTTTTAAAAGTAACTTATAATTTTCTAAATTACGCTACATACTGATAAACAATGGTTCTCCAAGTTCTGCACATAGTAATGATAGCAGGATGAAGTCTGCAAGTTGCATATGGAAACCACATGAATAGGAGACGGCATATCCTCAGTGTTACCCACTTTAGTGAACTTCCATGGACAACTCATCAGGATTTGGTAGAATATGAAGAGAGATAACAGGATTTTATCCTACGGTGTTTATTAGCAAACTGGAGAGGGTAAATCATAGGATCATATCCTTGGAGATAGTCTATGTAGACAAAAGATAAGGGCATGCTCTAAATAATTTTGCTGGGTGTTTGATGGTTTATTACAGCACAGTAACTCTGAAATTGCATTCAATTGCAAGTCACTGCCTAAGACATCTGAATTTCTTAAAACACTGCACAGTTGTCCAGCTGTGTTCTTGTATTGGTACTGGCAAGACAGACTTGATGTAGTTCAAAACTGGTTCCTTCAGTGCTTGCTGTGATGCTTCTGATGTACCACTGTATATATCCAGAAAATGGATTGGCATCACTGTTTGCAAAGACAGGATCTTAACCTGTTTAAAATTTTTAATGTGAATTTAAACTTCATTTTTGAGGTCATTCTTCTGTCTTTTTTTTTTTTTTTTCATTGCTGTTCCTAGTGGAATTCCATCAAGGATCTTCTCACACGTTTGTCAATGATAAGTCACAAGAAACAGGAAACCAGTTTGATGAACAGGATACTCTTACTACTCAATTTATGAGCTACATTAAGGCAAGTTTGTGACAATGTTAACTGGGAAAATTATTTCTGCTATTTTTGTAAGTGCAGAGTAAACAGGAATGATAAATAGCAGATGTTTTAATGAATAAGAGACTGCAGCTGATATGAATTGTTTTAAAATATGCAGAAAGCAAAAATAAGCAGGTAGGTTTAAAATTATTACAACTGATCTAGGACAATTTACCTGGAACTCTATTTAGGATATGTGAGAGTTATCCTTTAACTATGTTTAAGGCTTTAAGAAAAAATGGCAGGTTTTTTTCTGTGCTATTTGCTTTATATTTTGAGTAGAGTGATTTATTCTGTTTGTTACATTGCTAAAATGCAAGATGACTTTGTGCTAGCTGTGGTGGCTAAAGTTTTGAAGTAATGTTATGGTACAGAAATACATTTTCTCAATTTTTTAAACATTATAGTAGCAGTTGAGAGATCCTTAAAGACAATTTAAATTACCTTCTAGAATAAGTGCTGCATTTTTGTTGTCTTGTGGTATGTACCCTTGTTACAGGAAAACATCATGGTCTTTATTCCTGTAAGGTGAAGAAACATGAAAAAGAATGGCTTTATTCATTCTACTAGGGATTGTCACTGGGAAATGAGCCATCATTGGAGAGTGTTAGAGAAGCTGGTACACTCTTCAGTGTCACATACATCAGAATTGGGTAGAATTTATTGGTACAGGGTAATGCAACTGATGTGCCAAACACATGACACAAAAGAGGATAAGCCTCTGTTTTCTGCTGTTTCTTCTCTAGAAGTACAAATATATATTCATTCAGAGAGCTTCTGTCTTTACTGGCAGCTGAACTACTTCAGTGTTCCTGCCTGTCTGAGATGAAAGAGTTGCAAAACACCAAGTGGAAGCATTAAAGAGATTCAGGTTTTCAAATAAGTAGCGCTTTGTGTTTATAGGTGTGGGGGATCTAATTTGACTACATTGAACCCAAACTAACTGACTGACTGATGTGAATTCCTGGATGCAACTTTTGTTCCAATTTGTTCCTTTTAAAAAAGAAATGATTCATGGCTGTCAAAATTGTCAAATATGAATCCTGTTAATAATTATGCATGAAATATGTAATTGCCACTGTTTGCATGTTTGGAATTTCCTTGCTTTGTAAACAAATCTGGCTGCAGTAGGAGAGCAAGGAGAAGGAGAGTTGGGATCGTGCTTAATTGAAGCATTGTTTCTATATGCCAGAAAGTCACAAGTGCAATCTGGGACATAGAACAAAGACTTCTTATGCTGCTTGACTTTCTTGTCACAGTAAAGGGAGGGTGAGGGCTGTTGACCTCAATAAAATCTTCTGAATAGAAGATCTTGTAATCAGTATCTTAGGAGTGAGGAATGGAGCAGAAGTGTTGGATTGTTTCAACCAGCCAACCTAAGATGTTACATAAATTAGGTCAGTACTGAGTTGGAAAGCAGAATTTATCTGCCTACTTAATTGCAAAGTTCAGTTCTCATTATCACTTTTGTCTGCTTACAGAGCAGAGCAGCAGAGTGTGATGAATTATTGAGAATAGAAGAGGACACACAATGGCAAGCAGACGAAATGTGAGTATTTTTTATGTATCTATTAATAATTAGCTATGTCATTTAATTAGTTTGACCAGGACTGGTGTGACTTTGCTGTTTAATGATTTTGAAGATTTGGAGGCATGACAATAGCATAACCTTGCACTTTGTGTGTGCTCAGTGTTTTACATTTTATTGCTGAATAGAGTGAATGTTATATTACAACTAATTAATTTGTATGCCCCAATAACTTTTTATCTGAGTAGATTGCAATCTTTTTTAATTAGGTACTTTGATATTTTGTTTATTAAAGACATTGCTGAAAAGGGATCATTCAAACTTGTAAGATCTAAATTTAATGTACATTTTAAAAATCAATTTAGTTAGAAAACATATCGTATTCTTTTTCTTACTTGTCATAATTTTAACCTTGAAGCAATCATTATTTTTTATATATATTACTTCCAGAGTAGAACAAGTGAACATCAGTTGCTAAGTGCATAAGGAAAGGAAATTCATCATGACTGTACTGTGAAGTTGTCACTCATCAGAACAGTGTAGTCCTATATGGTATTAAAAAAAGACCCAAACCTGAAGGGAGGAAAGAATAAATACTTTCTGAAAGAGCCTTATTCACAGAACTAACGGGAGGTTATATTTCTAATCCCCAAAAAGAGCTATAAATGTTGAAAAGCAAAAGAAAGCAAGCTGACCTTTATAAAATCTCATTGAATTTACTATTTGTGCTGAAACAGTACATGGGATGTGTGCCTTTAAGAGTCAGATATTGGTGAATAAATGTTCAGTTTTAGAAGTCATTCTGTTCAGTTGAATACTTAAAGTTTTACTTCATCACATTAATTTCTGTATGTATTACGCTGGGGGTCTTTGTTAAGGGCAAAGTGTTGGAGAGTTTCTTCAGAAGAAGCTTTTTCCTTAAATTCAGCACATCCCAGTGTGCAGAGAGGCTATTTTTCCCCCTACAGTGTTTGCATGCCAGTTGGAAGGTAGACCTCTTGCATTGAAATTCACACTACCCTTGATAATTGCTGTTGTACTTTTTTTTTGAATGTTTTTGTTTTTTGTTATAGACTAAATTTATCAGAAGAACAAACTATTGATATAGCAATGATAGAACAACTAAGAGAAGCTGTAGATTTATTACAAGATTCCAACAGGTATGCTTACAGTAGCATATATATAATAATATAATGTATTATATTTAAAATTTTTTTGTGAATTACATTAGAGTTCTCTTTAAAGTGACAACTGAAAGCTCTCTGGAGTTACCAAGCGCTTTGTTAGCATACCAGTGTGTACAAGGTAGTTAAGAAGGAAACTCAAATTCTCTCTCGAGTATCTAGACAAGATTCCCAGTAAATTTAGAAGTCATAAAAGAAACCTAAAACCAGAGGTGAGGATACCCCTTAACCATTCATCTCATGTGCACTACTGTGCTTATCTGCAGTTTTGTGCAGGATTGTCACATTTCTTTTAGGGACTATAAATTTTCGTCTTATTCATGCTTGGTATATGTCGTTGGAATGAGAAGGGCTTCTGGCTCATCTTCATACCAATTCAATGAAGCACATAAAGGAGGTGCCTGAATTAGTGGGGGAGTTTCTTTAGTTTTCTGAAATCCAAAGGAGGAAGAGGAAAAGAAAGTTACTTAGATTTGCCCTGACTACAGAAGACAAGCTTTTATGATTTAGATGCCCATTTTAAGTGGCCAAAGTCTCATAGAATGGCTCTGGAACTGCAGCTAAACAAAATAAATATTTAAAAGAAAGGAAGTGATTGCCCTACTGGAAAGGTATGACAGTGGTGGTGCCTGTAGTTCTGTCTGTCTGTATGCTTGCTGTTGCTTTTCTTAGTGTAATCACCTTCAGAAACTGAGTTCATTTCAAAACTCATTTTATTTCTTACTTCTATGAAGTAGCTGATCTGCAGCTTCATTTCTCTGAAGACTAGAAACCTCCTTGTCACTTCAGCCTTAAGTATGCTTGGTTCTCTTTCCTCCCTTGATAGCTACTTGCTTTTGTGACTACACTGTTCTTTACTTTAAATGCCTATTTTGAACTGCTTTTTTACCTAGCAGACTTTTGTACTTTTAGGACAGAAATTTATTCCTGCTAGTATTTATAGAGAGACAGCTGGTTTTACTTTGCATTGTGTAAAGAATACTTGAATTTTTGAATCATACACTAAATACTTGAATAAAAAATATTTTTTCTTAACAAAATGTTGTAAAATTAGGAAATGGACAATTAGGAAATCTCTTTAGTTCATTTAGCTTCCTAATACCATTGTTTCTGCATCTCATATGAGGCTTATTAGTTTGTCGGAAGAGTGTAGTAGTTAAAAAAGGAAAGTGTTTGTTTTGGAAAAAACACCAGCAAAATATTTCAGTTGTTAGCCTGATAAATTTTGTCATTTTGCTTTTTTGTTTCTCAACATTGTCCTAATATTTCCTACATATTTAGATACTTCTATTAAATTGAGAAGGTCAATAAAATACAGGAAATCCGGCTTTTGTTTACACACAGATACTTTTAGCAAATTTCAAAAATTACTTTTAGAAGTGGCTAATCATGTCATGTATGTCTGTATTTCTCTACTGTTGTTTTTACAGCATGTTGGGGGGTTTGTGGATGCACTTTCTTTTTCTCACCTTAAAATACGAGCATTTATATTTAATATTCTGAGCACCATATAGGCTTTTCAATATACACCTTGTATATATACCTCTTGTATATTAGCATCCAGATCTAAGCAGCAAGATACATTTGAGTACCTAGTACTTGTCAAATGATGCTGTAGACTTTCAGTCCTCTGGGCCATGGACTCCTCTTTTCTTTTTTTTTTTTTTTTTTCTCCAATAATTACTGGATTTTATGGCATTTTGTTATATACTTGCTTTATGTAAAGCAGTGTGAGAAATTTTTTGGTTTCATACTCAAGAGTTTTTGTGTGTATCCAGATCCAGAAAGGAGTGTAAATGCTTTTGTTGCTCCTTACTTTAAGATGCACAAAACTGGCATTTGCTTTTAACTTAAACCTAGAGCATGTCAACCATTGTGACTTTTTCCAGTTTCCCTTGTGCATCCATATAACTCTGGTGGCCTAGTCAAGGTAACCTGGTTGAAATAACTAACTCAATCCAGGACCATCCTTATCTCACACTGAAGGCCCTTTAGGAGAAAACACTGTAGGGACTGGAGCAGCTGGTGATGCTGGTGCACTTAACGTGCACTGACTGGAATTCTTTCAAGCTGTTTTTGCTAGTGGGTGTGATTATTAAACTTGTAAAATGCTTGTCCAGTTACTGTTGGTTTAGTGTTCTGCAAAGTTTAAAATCTGCATACCCTGTTACACACCTGCAGCATTTTGTTTCCGGGAAGAGATTTCAGATTCAACCTTTTTCAATATTTTTAATGCTTGCATTGTATTTCTATATTTGCTTTCCTGTATTTCCTATTTTCTTTCATTTTCTATTTTACTGCTTTATTTTCAGCCACTGTGAATTAAGTGGAAATATCTAGGCAGAGCTGTGGCTTCCATTTGAACACTGGGTTCTAGAGGTTAGATACAGAAATCTGCAGGCTTCTAGATAACAACACGGTTGTTGGTAGTAAACAGGTCCTTTTGTGTTGATACAAGCCATTGCTCAGGGGGTTACTTTGCAAATGAAACCATGAATGATGCTTTAGACTGAACTGAAGCATCAAGAGGCATTTCCAAAAGCTCTTAAGAGATGACGCTGAACAGGTTAAAATGATAACTATAAAAATAGTTCATGTATATATTTGTTTGAAATTAAATATTGAACAGAATTGTTACCAAAGTTATAGCCCAGTACAATGTTTTTATTTCAAACCTTGCAGATTAAGCATGGATATTTCAGAGAGCAGTGCTGTGAATCTGTATCCCACAGAACCAGCAACAGTTTTATAATTTCAAGACTCTACAGTAAAGTGTGTTTATATACCTTCTTTAGAAAAAAAAAATTGTTAGATGCATCATGTTCAAGTTGCTACAAAATGAATTACATATTTGCCTTTGTCTTTATACATAGTGGTCAAATACAGATGGACATGTCTTCTCTTGGTCAGGTATGTTAATGAGTGTATAATTACAAAATGTTCTGGGGGGAAAGACAGAAAATGAGCCCACATTTTCATCAATTAATAATTTGCCAAAGTAGGGAAGGTAAAAAGTAAGTAGGCTGAAGGGCAAAAATAATTCTTCTTTAACATATTTATGGAATTGTGGGGCTTGCTTGCTTGTTTTTGTCTCTGTATGTGTCTGTAGATGTAAAATTTTTTGGTGTTTATCTATTACTTTTTCATTCTAGTTTCCCCACCCTGTATCTCCATATGTCAGTTCAGCTATGCTTCATCATCTACCATTTGACCCACCTGCCCTGTGCCCCCCCTCCCCCCATCTCCACCTTTTGGTGTAGGAAAACAGTATATTCATTAAGGATAAGCCCAAAATAATTTGTAAAATAAAAATCAGTGTTTTTCCAGAGTACTGTCACTACAGTTACAGAGAGTGTAGTTAAAGTATGGGGTTTGAGTTTTACAGTGTGATATATGTTGCTGATTATTTGTTCTGTGTCCTGTCTGGTGAAATAATTTTTTAAATGAAGTAGTTGGTTTACATTTGTATTATCCACCTGTTAGTGCTGGAACTGCACTTACATAGTATCTACTTGTTTCTCTGTCTGCTTTATATCACAATATTTGTAAGAAATACTTCAAGGTAATGCTATGCAAAAAAAAAAAAAAAAGTTCTATTTCCAGTAGTACAGACAGAAGAGTTCTTTATCTTACAGAGAGAAAATCCTGAAGAGGAACTGGAATTCCAGAGGAGGAGGGAGTTGATTATGGAGAAAGCAAAGCCTGAAGCAAGAACTTGTGAACAGGGTGAAAAATGGTCATTGAGCCAGGTATGGAAGTGTCCAGATGCAATAAATGTGGAAACATTTGGAATGGATCATTGCATTCTGTCAATTTGTGTGTAGAGATGATGGGTTTAGGACCAGTGTGGGGATTGGGCTATTTTTTGCCTTAGCATGAATCTCAAGATTTGACTGCAAATGGGAAGTTGATTAAGACCTATCCCTTTTGAAAGATCCAATATAATAAATATATATTTAATATAAAATAAATAATATTTATATCCAATAAAAAGCATAGTAGTTGCAGGTGTTGCATTCCCCTGGAAAAAAATGTTGTCTCAATGTTAGATCTTCAAGAAAATTAAGCACCTGTCTCCTTTTCTCCCCTTACCCCAAATATTCTTTTGTAGTTGTACAAGTTTCTAAGTTTACGTTAACAGCAATTTTTGTATTCAGTTTAATATTGCAAGCAGACTGTATATAGGTTGAGATTATAGTTTTTAAAGTTTCAAAAATATTTTAAAATTTGTACATTGTAATGATCCAGAAATGTAGAGCTGCAAAAAAACCATAAATATTTGGGGTGTATGTTATTGCTTCAGAACTTGCTGTGCAGGGATTTTGTGACTGCACTTGGCAAGGAGATTGTGAGAACAAAATTACAGAAGATGCTGTCTATATTGGCAGTACCTTAATATTGTCTGTTCTATCCAGAAGTAGGAGGTTTTTTTTGTTTATCTTGATGTTTTTCACATGTTCATGTATATAATCATTATAATATCAAATACTACTGTGATAAAGCTCTGTGGCTGTTGGGACCTAAGGTTCCAAGTGCTCTCTTTTGTTTCCAGTTTTTGTCAATTTAAAAAAAAAATTGACCCTAGAGAAATTGTTGAATTATAATTTACTTTTACTTATGCCAGTTGTCTTTCTGCTGAGTTATGATTGCTGCTGAATTAATGATTTTGTTTCATGTTTATCAGTGTGGTGTACATGTTTCCAATGTAACTATAACAGAAATGGTAACAAAAGATATGTTATATTGCAATTATAAATGCAATTGTTTACAGAATACTTTTCTCTTCAAATCTGTATTGAAAAATCTATATTTGAAAATGAAATCTTCGTGATAGTTTAATTAAAAGAAATATGCTGCATTTTAAGCAACAAACATTAAAACCTTATAAATACACTTATAATCCCTTAGTATTGAAGCAAAAAAATTAATGACAAATCTGTGTGAATTGTTTCCACATGCATTTTAAAAAAAAGTTATTCAGCTAGCAATAGAAGTATTTATGATTCATGCAAATTATTCATTTCAGTGGAAAAAAAAATAATGTGTATCTGACTATAATTAATAAAATTTCCCATTGCAGTGTGTCTGAAATATTTTCAGGTTTTGAAATGTTTGTTGTCTTTTCTTCTTTCTTTTTTACTTTCATGCAGAATGATCTATTTGTTTGGAACACAAGCGGACAAACCTCTCACAATGAGGTTAGATGTCATTTGTTTGTCCCTTTATGTTTTATTTGAATGTTTCATAGATTAAATGAAACATAACTGAATTCCACAGAACTGAGATTTGCATCAGAAATGAATATATGGTTTGCTTGGCATGTGGTTTAATCTTGTCATCTCAGAGATTTACTAGGGTATAAAAATATGCTTTCAGATCAGTTTGTTTCAGAGTTATGCAGTTTAGTACAAAACATTTAATTTTTTTACATTTTCTCCATTCAGACACATTTTTTTAATTTTTCTTTTTTTAATTCTTCCTCATTCAACAAGATTTTCTATTGATTTCAGCGCAATTTCTTTTTGCACAGTTGTGTCATGTCCTTGATTAGTTTTCAGAGAGGAATCTAATTTTATTGGTCCTGTAGCTTTCTCTTGTAAATCTCATTGGAAGATCAAAAAGGCTTTAAAAACCGTATGGAGCTCCCTATAGAGATTATTGATTTTTTTTTTTCAGAAGTAGGGCTTCTCTCTCTATACTGCATTGGGCATAAGCATATTGGAAATTTGTGAGCACACAGCCACCATCCACCAGACTTGGTGATGGGAATTCTGTAGTTCCCAGATCCCAGTGGAATCACTTTGTAAGTGGGATTCCCATTATGGGGTTTGGTCATAGGACTCTTTCTGTGTTGCCATTGGTGGTATGATGCTGCTCCATTCTTCCTGCTACAACTCTTAGCCTAGTTCAGGGTCAGGGGAGATCCTGCTCTGAGGCATGAGCTTAATTTCCTCTTTACTGTTTTTTAATGCAGAAATATGGTGTTGAATGGAAAATACCATGCAGAATAGTAATTAATTCTGTGAAAGAAACAAATGTGTCTAAGGAAAAGACATGCCTTTGCTTTGGTTTTTTAAATGTACTCTGCCACAAAATGTATGTTTGGTGGAACCAAATGATGACATGGGAAAAAACTGATAAATAATTGAGCTTATTTATAACTAGGGGGAATATCTTGCTGTCTTTTGTCAGAAATTCATATTTTCTAACAGAGAAACGGGGTGCAGTAAAAAAGGAAGATTTCATAGGTTTGAGACTATATTGTGGTCAGATTATGGGAATTGTTATAGCATGCAGTAGTGTTAACTTTTGCATTTTGCATGATCATATATGCTGAGATAGAATAACACCCAGAATATAACTTTGATGTATGTTCTTGAATTACACAGGATAAGGATAAAAGTCCAACAATGTCTCCTACTACAAACACCACAATTCCTTTTGGCCTGAAGCCACGATCAGGTAATGTGAGAAAACAGTTTGTGTGTACTGGTTTGGGGTTTTTGCATCTCTGTTATGTTTAGATATCTCTATTTTTCCCCATGAAGAAGTAAGCAATGTAACATTTTCTGTACAACGGTTAGAAGAAGCTTGGAACATTTAAAGATTCTCTAGTTTTGAATCAAGATTGAATTTTTAAGAAGTATTTATTTGACACATTATATATGGATCAATTTTCATCCATTACTAGTAAATTCAGTGTTTTATAAAATTATATGTATATTAAAAATGTGTTTGGATATAACTACACATTTTATATGCGTATACATATTTATCATCTGTGCTGACATACTAATTGAAGAAAGATACTTTGCTTGATTAGTATGTGGTGATACAGTTTAGATTTTGTTCGAAAATATGTGTGAATAATTAGGCTATTTTGAAAACACTTGTTGCTCTGAAAATTGTTCACTTCATTGAGTCTGTCAGTAGTTAGGCTTGAGTAAAGATCAAGCATTATGGAAAGGTTACATCTTTACTTCAGCCAGCAGCTGAGTTCAGTCAATTTGCAATGCACTGTATCTATGTAACCACCAGTTTTATTTGATAGCAAAGTTTATTTGATAGCAAAGAAACAAACTAAACCTCAAAATAAGTACCAACAAGAAACCTCCCAAACATAGAGATGTATTTGAGGGCTTGGTTAACAGTTTCCTTTAAAAACTGGATTAGCTACACAATTTAATTCAGTTTTTGTCTTCTGGGTGCGGAGGTAGTCAATATTAAGTCATGCCATATCACCTCTAATGAGTGGCTGTAGTTTTTCAGTATGTTTCAGCATACTAAGACCATAGTTATGTTTTCTCTCATTCACCACAAATGCTTTTAAAGTGATGGTAAACGCCTACAAATTTGTAGTTTCCCTAACAAAATACTTAGTAATAATGGCAGCAGTTTGTGAAACTGCTGGTGAAACATTGTGAAAATGTTTATGAAATTGTACCCATAGATTTAGTTGGGTTTTGTTTGTTTGTTTGTTTGTTTTTAAAGTATTAGCTATTTTTATGAAGGAATATACTTGAAGTTTCTCAAGTAGTTGTGATATATAGTTAGACAGATCTGTTCAACTGCATTTCTTTGGTTGTTGGAGTATAAACTCAGTCTGTCTTGTTCCTGATGATTTAGAAATGTTGCTAGCATAAATTTAAAATACAGGTTAAATGATGAACAAATGGGTCCTTTCAGGATCTGTTGAAAATAGAACATTGAGTAATATTGCATAGTCCAATGGTGATATTGCAATATCACTGTTAGGAGAAAAAAGTGAAGGAGCCCAGGCCATGTTGCTGCTTTCACAGGATATGGGCTGTGTTCTGAGCCCACAGTGAAATCTGCTGCTGGGGGTTGGAAGTTGCTTTGTGCAAGAATATGCAAGACTGAGTTCGTGTTCAAGTGTTAGTTTAACAAGCACTTTTGAATCTTGGCATATCGTGCCCAAATTTCTTATACTTAATGACTAGAATAGGTCCAGGTGAAATAGCCTAGAGACTATTTTTTTGAGAGAATTTCTAGAAAGACTGGATTGCAATGTTTGCAACAAAACCTCCAAGTCACATGATTGAAGACCAGATGTGCACAAGTCCTACACTTTATCCCCTTTTTATATATTGCAGCTGTGTATAGCCTCATTGAATACCAAAGTCAGTTGGTTAGAACATGCTGATTTTCTGCACTGTACTAATTGAAGTTCATATATTCTAAAATCTTTGAGCATGCCAATACTGGAGTGTCTTTTGGTCACATTATGATTGTGTTAAACTTGATAATGTGAATTTATTTTCTTTTCCATATGAGACACTACAGGCACTAAGATAGACCCATTACTGTACAGTTTCTCACCTGATCATGTCTAGCTTCAGTCATCTTACCTTAAATTTATACTGTGGTAAGATGGAGGAACTTGGCAATAGTAAAACCTGATGTCCAGTTTCAGACAAAAATACAGTGTGTTAGCTATGTAGCACCATGTAGCAAAATGAAACCTTGCAAAGGCATTGTAAAGCTGCACATTGTTTCATCTTCTGCTGTTTTGCTAACACATAAGAAATACTTACAGATAGGAGTAGTACATGGCAGAGAATGTTTGTGAAGCCTAGCATGGTTTGTGAAGCCTGCATGTTTTTCCTTTGCAAGCTGGTTTGCTTGGCAGGTCTGTAATTTCTTCATTTTATTTCCTTTAAAACTTTGTACAATTTTTGTGCATCTGAACCATTCTGTCACTGGTTGGAATTTGTACTTGTTGATTAAATACTGCTTTATTATCATAGACCTGAGCTAGTGAAGAGGTCCAGCATTTCTGTGACCCAGGAAAGTTTTTTAGCTTAATTTGTGGTGTATTTTAATAGGTTTTTTCATTTCAGTTCTTAATGGCCTTCGGGGAAATGTTAAAACTTACTGGAAATGTAAGCTCAAATGAAGTTAAATAGTCCTAGTGACTTCTAACTGTTTAACTTTGTTAGAGCTTACTTTTGAATTAATTGGCTCTATAAATCTCTTAAATCCAAGTGCAACATTAAAAGGACATTGAAGTGTTCTAAATAAAATGTGTCCACCATGCTCTGTGGGAAAAACAGTGGCAAATTTTCAATGAAAATATATGTAACCATATTTTTTTCTGAAAGTTGAGCATTTATTTTCATCTATTTGAAATGAATGTTGCTTTATATTTGACTTTCTGTTCTCATCATTTCATAACGGTTTATGTCTCTTGGAAAGGTGAAAGTAAGCTGTTCTAGACTTGTGGTAAAGATTCCAGTTTTTTGAAGTACAGACACAAATATAAGTGCTTCCAGAGGATAAACCACAGTGGCTTAAACTTCTGTGTTAGTACATACTGATATGTGTTCAGGACTGAAGGTCCTTTTATACTTTCATTTTTAAGGTAGGCAAAACATTGGGGAAATTCATGTCTGATGGCTGACAGAATGAAACCTAAGTAGCGAAAGAAAATATTTTGAAAGGTAATGAATATGTTTACATTTCTTGAAAGATTTTTTTCCAAGGGTCAGAAGTTTATATAGAATGTAAAAAGGATTTTTTAATTTCTCAGATTATTTCCTTCTGTATTTTAAATATTTTCAGAGAGTGTGGACTTTTCAAATTCACATTAATTTTGAAAACCTTAAAAAAATTCCATTGAACAGAAACAATTTTCTTAGAGCTGTAGTTTTTCCACTTGGGAAGTGCGTTAGCTCTCTGAAAAGGAATTGTGAAAAATAGCAAATAAATTTTAATTTTCCATCTTTCATCCATGAATTGATTAAAATGTTCCAAGTGGTGCTAATTGTTGAAATTGAGAGTTGCCAAGGTCTTGTGCTATCTTTAATATGCCAGACCTTCAAGTCTGAACAGCTTCTAATACATCTTGCTATCAAGAGTTGTTTTTCCTTTTGTGTTTTTGCCATTTCTAGGTCACTGTGTTTCTTAGTTTCTACTGAGCAAAGTGACAGCAACACAGACAAAAAAAATTTCTACTGTCAGAGGCTGAAGCAAGCACTGACAAAACTTGAAGTCACAAAGCACTTTGTATTCTGAAGTGAGAAGTTGTTCCCTTGCAGCTCTTCATAACATAACATTATCTTATGCAGCATAACGTTACTTTTGAATCTAGTGCCCTCAGTTTGGGTGACTTGTAGAGAACTTGAAGCACAGTGTTAGTATCTATGGTAGACATGCTTGTATTTCAAGTTAGTTGGAACATATAATGATCAATGGAACTTGACAGTATTTTTCTCTCATTTGAGTGCTCATTACTGTCTTTCTGTCTCTGGATGTTTATTCCTTCCATTTGTTTTCTTCCCTAACTGCATTATCTGTGTACTTTGGAAAATAGTTGAGAATTCCAGTTGCTACCAGAGTCAGACTGTTTACCTTTTGCTATAAATCTGTGTACTGTTACTCAGTGTTGACTCAGAGTTTAAGCTGTGCTGACTCTGAAGTTCAGCTGGTGTCCCAATAGCCAGAAGCAGTGACCCAGCCTTGGGAAAGTCTAAAGAGAGAGAGCTGTGAAACTCTGAAAAGAAGTTTAAGGTGAAGTTTTATGTGACACAATCTAAATTACTATCATGTTAATACAGATGCCAAAATTGTGCGTAGGAGAAATCCTACATGAATAAGTTCCTTCTGAATATTAGTTTGGAACGTTAGAAAAGAGGGACTTTCTGTGCTTACTGAAACTTTACTTTGGACTTTATTCTAATATTTGAGTGGTTTTAGTTGGTTTTAGATCTACACAGCAATCTTGAATTGAATTGTGTTTATGGTTTACCATTTAGAGCAGAGGTAGTTTATAGTCTCTAGTTTGGTCTGAGGAACATGAATGTCGCTTGTGTGTAGGATTCAGTAGATAAATGTGAAGATACATGTAGAAAAATAAGAAATGAGTGAAGTAATTTTTTTTTTTTTTTGTGGAAGTGATAAGAAACATTGTGATCAAATACAGAAAGAGTTCATTAAGGAGCAACATCACTGTGAAAGGCAGAAAAGAGATTTAAATCTCTGTTAGAAAATAGGAAACCAGTGTGAAGCTTTGAAAGGATGGATGATATGCTGAAGAGATACAGGAAGGAGATATTTTAAGGGTGTCAGTATCCAGTTCTGAAACACTGTAGAATGGAGGTTTGAGGAAAGTTTGGGCAGAAGTCCTTGCCACAACTGAGACAAGAGACAGAAGCTCAGAGTAGCTGTGATGGGGAAGGAAAAAAACCTTCTGCAGAAGGATCTGAAGATCAGTAAGAGGTGGTGTTGTGACTAGTTGAAGCAGAGAATGCAGAATGGATAGGAGAGCAGGAGCTGTATTGCTGCCCCAATTTAGCTCCATAGTGAGGTCATGGGTGGTCATGAACTTAGGCACGACATGCTTTTACAGTCATCTGGTGAATAGTCTGCAGACTGTTGCAGCTTCTGTGGAAATGTACAGTTTTGTGTACTTCAGGGACGCCAGTCAAATAATTAGTGATGTG